GCGCGCGATGTGGTTGGTAGGGAACTTCATCGTTACATGAGTATTCCGTAAGGGCTTGATTGAGTGCTGATGCGAGGTTCTGGACGTCCGATGGAGAGATGTTGTCGAGGAGAGTTTGGATGTCGGCGTCGGAGAGGACGGTGAAAGTCATGCTGGTTGAGAGAAGGGCCGAATTCGATTGTCCGGGAACTTGGTGAGCTGCGTTCGATGAACTTTATGCTGATCGTGCGACGGATTCTTTCCTTGTCTTCCTTTCTGCGTCCTATCTCGGTGTCACTTGCTGTTGCCTAGTGTTGAAGTTGCCGTTACATGCGGAGATGCTTGCCTGCGGGTACTGTCGGGCCACTGCCCCACTTCATCCTTGGGCAAAGGGCAAAGGACAACAAAACAACGAGATAAATCGTACGTATCGAAATATCTCTTGCATGGAAAGGCCAAGCCGTCGTGCTGACTGACATTAGGCAAATGGCAAGCTGCGCACAATTCCCTTCTTCCCCAGCACGGTACACCATAGCTTATCCTGATCGTCATTGACTTGAAGACCGGGCCTTGTCAGCCAAAGGTCAATCCGCGAGACAAGAAGTTCCTGTCGGTCGGTGGCTCTGGTTTAGGCCACACATGGTTACGTGGAGTTATGGGTGAAATCGGATCGAGAGTGTCGCGCCTCGTCAAATCTCCTTCCAGGTCGTAGCGGGGCTTGATCTCGCCCAGGCTGCGGAACACGTCCCCGCAGCTCTTTCGTCGCAAGTTGCCCAATCTATGGGTGCTAGCTGACTCTGATAGAGTTTTTCGAAGCACTGGAATGCCGCGTTGGACCTCTGGAGTCTCTTGCTCTTGGACCACCAACATGTCCTCTTTGATCAAGTCGAGGAACTCCCTGAACTCAACGGTACAGCGTCGATGCTCTCTCAATTCATCCATAACCTGGAGCAGTTTAGTGATAAGCAATGTTCCATCTTAGTACCCATCGTAGTTTAGTGGGTTTAGTATGGAAAGTCAATTCAATAGACTGACCTCGATGACTGCAGACTTGACTTTGGCTCTTTTCACTCCTGCCTCGAAGTATATAGAAAAGAACGTGTCACTAGGTATGTCTGCCATAAAGGGATCGCTCGCCAGACGCCTTTCGCCAAATCGTTCAACCAGTTTACGCCCCCCAAGATACCACGTAATGAACTGCAGGTATACACATCCAAGAGCCCATACATCACATGCACTGGTGAGAACGCCGTCGAGCTCCATCTCAGGCGAGCGATATGTTTCTGAATTCGGCATGCGTCCAGTCCGCCTCGTGTCCCAAGAATTCTCCGTGCTAAAACGAGCAACTCCGAAATCGGTGATCTTGAGAATACCATGGCCGCCTGGAGTCACGTCGTCTGGATACCAGAGAATGTTTTCCGGCTTGAGATCTCCATGACGACCGAATAAATTTCTCATCACCCGGGTTGGGCTCGTATTCTCAACTGACCCAAATTGTTGCTGCCTCCCGACCGCCTTCCGCACCGGTGGGTCTGAGCCGTAATTCAAGATGGCGCCAGAGAGAGTGGCGTACCGATGCACACTGTTCAGTCCAGCGGCAAGGCCAAGGCATTGGTCTATAACCCATGTACCCATCTCCTCGACCTCGGGCGTACGCTGCCTCCAAAAGTCGAACAAATCGAGCTCTGCCCATGGGAAGATGAGATGATAAACCCCATCGTGTTCATAAGTAGCTAATAGAGTGACAAGGTGATCGTGAGCGTGTTTACTATCGCTTAGCTTGGTGAGAATGGTGGCTTCTCGTCTGAAATCCTTTTTGTCGCTTGATCTCAAGGCTTTGATGGCGTAAATATTGCCATTACCCTGATGCGGACACTGTCAGCGTTCCTCACACCTTACAGCTGGAAAAAACATTATAACGTACCTTCATCTTGTCTAGACGATCATGTTCGGGATGAATTTCGGTCTCAAAAACTCTACTAGATCCTCCTCGTTTTGGAACCTCGGTGCAGGTTAAGAATGGCAGGATTGTTTCAGAGTCGAGATCAACATGAGGGATGGCAGCACCATCGGCGCCGATAAAAATCGGCACAAGAACACTCCATTGGTGCTCTAGAAATTCTTCGGCGTAGTCCTGCCTCTTGAACGAAATAGGACCAGCTTTTGAGTCGTGTCTGCTTATCAGCGAATAAGAGCCGTCCAGTCTGTCGGAATGTGGATCTCTCTCAAGCGGAAGGTGTTTGTCGCAGACACCAGATTTGATAAAAAGTCTGATCTTCGATGGCTGCTTCATAAGGTAGAGGACCGTGAGGATCTTAACGTACGGCGTGCCATCGTCAATGCTCAAGCGCTGTTTCCCTATTCTTCCGAATTTCGAATAGTTCGAGTTCGAGAGCTCTCGCTGCACTACCGCGCTCGTAACGATCTTCTCAATCTCAACCTCTGGTAGGAAATACCTTCGAAGATACGATCGACGTCTAGCTTCCCTAAGTCTATTCGGAATCTGTGATGTAGAACTATCGCTTGGTAAACGCGTCTGTGCCCACCGTCGCACAAACAAAACTGGGTTGACTGCATGTTTTCGGATGTCGAAGGCATCCGATCTCTTCGGCACAATGATGTCGGTCAGCCTTTTCTTAAAGGTCGTGATCTCCGTTTGTAATGGTACTGGAGGCGAAGCTGTACTATCCAGTTCCTTAATAGCTTTGAGATCTGTCCGGGTAGCACGACCCGCCTCGGATGGTGTGTTTATCTCGCACGCAAACAGAGGCTCGCTAAGTGGCCGCGGTCTTCGCTGTAGATCTTTCTTGCGTCGTTAGCTAGAAGCCGATGAATCATTGTGTTCAATATGCACCTCGTCGTCCGGTCTGATTGTTCAAACTGCTCGACGTGAAAGCCCACCCGCTGCTGCGTGTGGATGAGTCCACCTCTACATGATCATTTAGTGGCTCAGATCGGTCACCGTGAGGCGAGCTCAGCCCCGGCTGATGGTGCGGGATTACCGATGAGCTTGCGACAAAGGCCATCGTATGTTTGGGTTCATGGCAGTACCAGTCGGCTTGGAACGTGTGCCTGAGGTATCATGCTTCCTGCAGTCTTGTGGGCTCGATGTAGCCAGTGTGCTCAATGTCTAAACCTTGAAGGTCTGCTGGGCGGTACGTACTTCCACTGAATGTGGGGTCCGAGCATGCAGAATGGTGGAATCCCTGCTAGAGGCGTAGGCTACTGGACAAGGTAGGCAGGTGTGACAGTCTATTGCTCTCAACGCGTGCCGTTTATCGCAACCCCATCGCTTAGAGCTGGCGTGCCCAGAGTAACATCCGGCTTGGCCAACAATGTAAACATCGCCCAGAGGAGGTCCAAGTGGTTTGATCCCATCGACCAAGTGCTGGAGGAATCGACCAGCATCGAGAAGTATAAGTCATCGAGACGCTGCTCCTTGTCAAAAGAACGATGTATGAGGCGGCCTTAGCAAATGAATTGTGTCATCTCGTATCGCGTGATGCAAATGGATAATGGCACTGCATGAGGCAGGCAAAACATCCTCGACGCCCCCAACATGCATTCATCACATACCCATAGTTGTTGTGTCGGCTAGGAGCATGATTGGTTGTCCAGCATACGCTGTGGCTGAAAGATCCTTGACTGCTGTGGTAGACTCAGCCCACCGAGCGTCAAGGACTTCGAGTATAACAGCGACAGAGACACGGCGTTGTCCCCCAGTATCCTTACGAAGATTCCAGTATCAGCATTGCGGATAATCATGGTCGATCTGATCAAGAAGTTCGAAAGTCCCTTCCGGAAGCCATCGTCCAAGCAACGAAAACCGTCCGACCCGAGCGCGCCGAATCTGGATATCAAAACTGTAACTCAATCGGTTGACGCCGCTGAGATTGATCCGGAAAAGTTGATGAAAAAGCTAAAACAAAGGTTCCCGTCTGGCTTCAAGGTTCATGTGCGAAAGACCGGGAAGATAGGAAGTAGAGGCTCACTAACTTGGGACTGCAGATGATGCACAATACTTATATCATCGAGGCCACTGAGGAGCTTTCACTGGTATGCTGGTACCTCTTGATGATGCTCGCTGTGTTGTCTGACTTCATCGCATAGGACGATATAGAGGAGTGCCGGTAGGGGTATAAGGTTTGGAGACAGCGCTAGATGGTCCGTTTGGCTGTTCTGCCTGCAGCGAGGGGGCCGCATCGTGCGTCGCAATTCTGATCATTACCGAATCGATCGATATGCTGCTGTAAACTCGTGTGATGGAACCTTGAAAGGTTGCAGAAATGGGCGCGTCTATCAGGGGAAGGTACGCGCCTAGCGAAGTGGGGCTATCTTGCAAAAGCAAACGTCATTACGCGACAGCGAACGCGACGCGCCCCCAGCCTCGTGATAAACATGAATCTGCGTCTTTGGACGAAGTTTTGCTTCACAATGCATTTATCTATCAACATGCTCAACTGTAAATCTTTACGACACCTCATCCGCTTCCGAACTCAATGCGATAACACTGAGAAGCTCGAGATTACCCCGGACGACAAGGCTGGCCCCCACACTGCCTTTCCCGATCCCAGAGCAGGCTGTGCCGTAAGAGGAACGGCAATGCATCTCGGCTGGTGGTCTGGATACAACCTTGGAAAGGTACGGCACGATGATACCCACACACATCCCGGCCGCCTTGCGCTACGCTTTGACCGTCTGTTCTGCGCGCTGGTTTGTCGATGGCCCCTTGACCTTTGAGCAGCTGAGAAAAACGCCTCGCTGCCTGTTGCGATGGTGTGGCGAACTTATGTACAGCTGCTGTACCCCATGCCTAAGCCTGATAAGATCTTGGTCAGCCGGTATTGGCTCAGTCGCCCCAACGCATGTCTGCGCTTTAATAAAGCCTCGTTTGAGCGTGCCATCATACCTTACGTGCATATTGACAGCAGGTCCCGAGGAGCTTCGAAATTTCATCAAAACTCTGACCATAGAGCCAAACATCTGGAGAAAGGGTTTGCTTTCCGCGATCGACGCGAATCATGGCAGACTGCAACGAGAATGCGGCATGTCAAGAACATTCAAGACCCAAGGACTGCGCAGACGACACAGATAGTGATGACGAACCAAGCTTCCAAGAAAAGCTCAAAAATCTGCTGTCATCTCACGCAATCAAAAGCGCGTTCGAGAAAACACCTATCAAGTTCGTCCCCGAAGGCATCATCCACGAGCTGATTACGGAAGACCAAATCAAGGCCGCCTTGGATATACAAGCAGCAACGGTTGAAGAAGACGAACTGGTGGGATTCACACGTATGCGCGCGAAAAAGATATTTGCTATCGCAATCCACGTACAGCCAAACAAGATAGTCGCAATCATGAAATGGTGGAAGAAGAATAATATGGACGATGGCGATCTGCCGATCACCTTTCGGCCTGGATGGAAGAGGCAGTGGCTTTCGGAATTTTGCGAAATGCAATGGATGTTCCTCGCTCCTGTCTTCTCGACAACTCAATACAACCGCAATCTCGATGACGCCCACATCTTACCTTTCATTTCCAAAAGGTCAGATTCTGGTAGAGGATCTTTCGGCGTGGTGTCACAGTATGTGATACATAGGAAGCATCTGGATCCGGTCAGTATGCGGGTAGCTTTTTGAACATTTGTGGCAGCGATCGCTGAATCGAAGCAGCCGTTCCTGGATCATAGTTCGTTCGCAGTCAAGGAGATTCAGCCTTCCGATAACGCGCAGGAAGTTGCAGAACATTGGGAAAGAGAGGTCAAAGCCCTCCGAACCATGAATGAGTTGAACCAAGATCACATTGTTCGTTTCGTTACAGCTTTTCGACGCCGTAGAGAGCACGGCGACCCAGATCACTACCTGATATTTGAATGGGCTGATGGCGGAAACCTCCGCAGTATGTGGAAGAGGGAGCATTCCCCAATATTGACGGCAGCATTAGTCAAAGATGCTATGTTCCAGATACTGGGACTTGCCAGAGCACTCGCGGCTGCGCACGACCTCGACAAGACCGGCGCATCATACCGCCATGGAGACATCAAGCCGGAAAACATTTTGTGTTTTAGTAACGGCCGCACGATTGGTACTCTCAAAATTGGCGACTGGGGTGAAGCGAAAGAGCACGGACAGGTGACAGACATGCGTCCCAGCAAAACCACAGCAAAATATGGCACTCGTGTCTATGAGGCCCCTGAGGTCGAAACGGGCGTCAGAGCTAAGTACCTGGGTCAGTCAACAAAGCGCCGCTCTCGACTATACGATGTCTGGGCGATGGGATGCATCACTCTCGAATTCACCATATGGCTGTTGAAAGGGTATGAGGGACTTACTCAATTTCGTCATGATCTTGGGGAAGGGAGCTTTTACGAAATAACAATCGAGAACGGAAAGAAAGTAGCTCATGTGCATGGAACTGTCATGCTTTGGATGAATACATTGGCGGGAGACCCCAGATGTCAGGCCGGAAGTACAGCAATAGGGGATCTTTTGGAACTTGTGAGAACATCACTACTGGTTGTTAAGCTTCCACGAAGGCTCGGTTCGAATCTTTCAGAACTCCCAGAACGACCTCGTACCGACTCGGTCGTCTCGGAGGCAAGGCTTGAAGCAAGTGTTACTCCCGCGAACAACACACCCTTTGACCTTGAGGATATCCCAGATGTAGCAACAGCTGTAGGAATTCCTTCTTTCAGCGTCACTCCTGCTGAAGCGGAGCCTGAAAGAATCCCCATACAGCCTGAACCCGAAGCGCAAGGTCACTCACGATGCCTCGCAGCCGAATTCTGCTCGCGAATGGAATACATTGTCGCAGAAGATCCGGATGAAGATGAAGGCTATTGGTTTACATGTTGGGTACAGCCTGCAGAACTCCGCTCTACGGCAGATCTTATACTACCGCCCTCTCCCACCACAGAAGTCTACTCTGGTGAGGTCTTCCAAAAACCAAGCTGGGAAACCAATCGACCTACCGTTGGCGGGTTGATGGCACCCTCCCAGAAGAGGGTAAGTTGACATCACCGATCGTCAGTATCACTAACGACTAACTCATGATGTAGATAGACTACGCGCCTCCAGAACTCGATGAAGATGACTGGAAGTACCAGTCTGGCAATGATCTTGCATCAAGTTTGTTCGACTCACTCAGGGAAAGCAAATCCCTGGGGTCGTCCAACAATATCTCTCAATCTCGACTCTGCTCAGATTGCATCTGCCTCCAAGAGGAGTTGTTCACACCAGGATTTTCTAAGTCGTACGACGTGCACACCCTTCGAATGAGCGCCGAAAGAAAGCACTGTGACTTGTGCGTCCTGCTCTGGCAGACTGCTATCCGAGACGGTGGCGTGAAGTTTGCGAGCATCAAGCTTGAGCGGACTGGTTCGTTTCTCCGGATGAAAAGCAATGGCCTTCCTGTACTGTCCATCGTCCATTATCCGGAGGAGCTCTCTAGGGTTACCAGCGATGGCCAGGTTGGATTTGTTCAGCTCCCAGAAGCAGGTAGCACCACTCACCTTGAGGTGCTCCAGCACTGGCTCCACGATTGCAACGGCCATCACGGATGTTCCCCAGCTCAGCATACAGCAAATAGCACAAAGATCCGGCTACCGACGCGGTTAATCGATGTTGGCACAGATGAGGATGACACAATTCGACTGTGGGAGACCGAACCATCGGATGTGGGCGAGTGGATTGCTCTATCGCATAAATGGGGATCTCGACATCTTTCTACCACACCTGAAACCCTTCAAGACCACCTAAACGGTATCAAAATCGGCATCCTCCCAGCCACATTTAAGGATGCGGTAATCGTAACCCGCGCACTTGGACGTCGTTATCTTTGGATAGACTCACTTTGCGTGATACAGGGTCCACAAGGCGACTTCATGACCGAGGCCAAGCGTATGGAAGCAGTTTATAGCGGCGCCTACTGTGTTATCGCGGCTAGTTGCGCTACTGACCACTATGACGGCTTCTTGAAGCCTCGCACTCGACGAGAGTATGTTGGTCTGGGTGGTCAAGGCAATGGTCAACACCCTTTCTACATCTGCCAGAACATCGACAATTTCAAGGACCATGTGCTTGGTGGTGAGTTGCACAGTCGTGGCTGGGTCTTACAGGAGCACGCTCTCGCCCGTCGAACGCTTTTCTTCACGGAGCATCAAAGTTACTTCGAGTGCGGTAACGGCGTGCGCTGCGAGACGTCAACAAAGTTAGATAAGTAATTTGCACCCACCGCTGTCAAGTTACTCAGGTCGACTGACACACTCCAGCCCACTCGCTGCCTTCCTTGGCGACCCAGATTTCCCACGTATGGTTTCCAATGCTTCCCCTGGCGAGAAGATCTTGCGCTTTCAAGGGCTGTACCGTAAATTCTCGCGCCTAGGTCTATCAAAAGCATACGACCGACCTACTGCAATCGACGGTCTTCAGCAACGTCTTCTTCGCACGATGCGAGTCAGTGGTGGGTTCGGAATCTTTGACGAAGGAACTAAACTGGGTCTACTCCGACGAAGCCTGCTGTGGTGCCGGGGCGTCGATACAGACAGCTTGTCTCGTATCCACTTCCCAACGGAGAGTGTCGTCGCCACGGTTCCATCATGGTCATGGATGGCATACACTGGCGGGATCGACTACCTGCAGCCTGACTTCGACAACTTTGAGTGGGAGGAGTTACAATCGCCTTGGTCATCCAAGGGTCCAACCAATGTCTCAAGCACGGATTTCCACACAGCAAATATAGCCCTCCACGCTACAGCGCGAGAATACGATTCCCTCAAGGCAGGGCTGCAAGGAGAAGGTGACCTAATATTTGACACGCCAAACGGGTCCACTGCACCACAGAGGTATTGCGTAGTCCTAGGAAAGGCAAAAGGCAGCATGTCGCCGGCGACTCAACAACACTACGTCCTGATCATTGCTGCAACCGCACAGAGAGACCGTAACGGGGACAAAGTGTACGAGCGCGTAGGGACAGGGTATTTGTCGGGAAGATGTATATCGTCCGGTGGGTTCAGGGTGAAGATCCATTAGTTGTAGTCAACCTGTCGTATAATCTCCGCGAAGTTCAAACCGATGCTGGGTTCGAGAGAAAAAATGTGATCATTCGTTGCGTCTATTGGTATATTTGCTATTTCTTCACGTAAATGCGTCATATCGAGATGGAAATCGTACATACTCAGGCGCCAAATAACTCCGCAACAGCTAAAACTCTCGTAAGGTGAGTGTGTACAATCACATCACTCACTTCCAAGACTACTGTACGCAGCACATAGCTGTAGGCAATACGCGGCAGCGTTACCCAGACTAGAGCTCAGTCCATGCCAACGTATTTGAACCATAATGGCCGACAATCCTCCCGGTTCAGCCACTTCTCGCCGTCTGTAAACTGACCAGTGACGCAACCGGAACACTTTGGACTGTTCGGGCAGTTGAAAAAGGGTATGTGTTGGTATCCGATGTCTCGGAACCAGTGTATCTTGCTCTTGTCTTCGAAGAGTCCCAGTGCGACGCTGTGTACTGGAGCGTCGCCCCAACGTTCGTAGAAGAAGCCTCCAGCGCGATCGAGATGGTCGAAATAGTCGCGGTACTTTTTGCTCCTCCAAAAGCTCAGGTCGCCGATCTCGAAATTGGACCAGAAGTGGCACGTTGAGTAGCCATGAGCTTTCTTGTTGTTCTCAGGCCGGCGCTGGTCGTCTTCCAGCCACTCGCGCGCATTGTTTGGATGTACGTATCCCGGATTGTCTTGGATGAACTTCTTCGTTTCTGGCCACAGCGTCGCAACGCTGTCGGCGTTATCGTAGATGTTGACGTTGAAGCCGTACGTCTTGTTGTGGTCTTGCATCCAAGCAAAGACATCGTAATCGACATCGCAGAAGAAGTGGACGTTTGGTTCCACCCGCCAGTAGTATTGGATGTCCTTGAGCGCAGGGTGCTCGCTGAACATGCCGCTGTTCCACCGACACATCTGGTGATAAGACTTCTTGCCCATGTACTGTACATCCAGCGACGTGAGCAGGGACACAGACTCCTCGTACAAGTCCATGTTTATCCACGACGGAATGTCCCAGTGTTCGGCAGGGACCAGTTCGTATCGTACTTCGGCGTTGGTAGCTGCTCGCGTGGCCTTTTTGAACTCTTCGGTAAAGGGCTTATCGTTGAAGAAGGTCCAGGGGTAGTTGAACTTGTGGTTCCACGTACGCTCAAGGTCGCGCATGCTTTGCAGCATGTCGTGGAGCTCTTCATTGCGGACTAGACTGAGGATCGTGGCGTTGATGCGCGCGCTCGCGGGATTGTTTGGGGCGTAGTTGTCTCCGTCGACTCGTCGCAGCGGCTCGGGAGGTTCGCCGGAGGCTGATCACATGATTAGCATCTATAATAGATTCATACCATATCCCAGGCTGCCTTACGATCCAATTGGGGGTCGTGGTCCCAGTCGCCGAATTTGTTGGTCGGAACTTTGCTCGGAATCTCGACGGGTTTCTCGGAACCAGGGGCCTTGAGGATTTGCACAAACAGATAGACGAAGATGCAGAAAGTGGCGCCAGCCAAGTAGCGCATGCCCTTGGGAAGCGCCATGATAAAGAGCAGTTGCAGTTGCGGTGGCCGAGGGTTGGGACACAGTCCCGCCTCAGAAAAGTCGCAGGAGCGCTCAACCTCGAGTTTCACAGCCGGCGGTGACGCGGTGCGTGATCACGCTAGCCTGCATCGGGCATGATGTCTCTGTCAAGTGGAGCCGAATCAACCGCCGCAAGTCACCACAACGATATCACTACTACCGGGATCTTATTTCCTCTGGCGTCATCGCGCGACGGCAAATGAAGGACGCGTTACTATGGCCCAAAACGCGAAAATCTCCGGACTTACGGACGAGTTGATACAGTCCATACTGAGACACGATCCAGCAGCCAACAAACAGGCCTACAGAAACGCCAGAGAGATTGCATCGCGCAATCTTCGAGGGCACCAGTATGCAAGAACAAATCAATTCGACGTTATGGCGAGCTTTGCCGGCCTGGATGAGAAGTTCCGCATCAAGAACCGCGATGACCTCGCTGATGCGCTCCAAACACGGCTTCAAAAGTTGGAGGCGTACACGAACAAGTTCAAGCCAGAGTTCCTATCTCTGTTACTCCAGCTCGCCGATCGGCCTCTTGAGAACACCCAGGTCGAAGCCTTAGAGCTGCTTAGACCCCCTAGCCCTCCGCCGCCACTGACTTGGGCGGAGATCCTTGAAGACGACCCCTACAGCGATGAGGATATCTGGAAGGACATCGACTATGCCGTGGACTCTTCGGGCGACGAGAAAACGCTCAAAAAGCGCAGGAAGGCTCCAAGCACACCACCGACCAATTTCGACGCAGATGATACTTTCGATCCCGAAGCCTGTATCTCATCTACAGAGGAGAATCTTGTTACCAAGCTGGAAGACGCGCAATTTTGGACCTCGGGCGCGGATCGCAGTAGCACTGGCGTGAACATAACAGAGCTGCAGGCTGTGCGAGAAACGCTATTCATGCTTGGTGGGCTGAAGACGAGCTTGTACCGGATCGAAAAGGACAGCATTATCCCCAATGAGACACATACTGTTGACAACAATCAATCAACCGCTATCACACATCTCCTTTCTCAATTCGCCGACAGTGGAACACGTATAGAGGCGATAAGACGCTGGACGCTGCAACAACGAGCCAAGAAGCCACCGTCATCACCTCTTGTCCAGACCTTCGAGGCCGTTGTACGGAAGCGACTACTTGACTTCGACCACTCCTTATCCGCGATGCAGCAGAGATATCTCATTCCTGATACGCCACTTCCCGTCAGTTTGTTGCCGTTGCACGGCGATGTGCGGGCACTATGTCACCCTATCTTACGTCTGGCGCCGATTGTCGATGGTCTGAGTCGATCAACGGCAACTCAAGATCCGTCGATACCTGTAAATCCCTTTTACCACCTGGAAGCATTGTACGAGCAGACTACTCTAGCGCAGATGACGCTGGAAGACGAAATCTTTGCATACACGTCGAAGATATTCTTTGAGTGCTTACAGACATATCTGAAGCCAATCCGACGGTGGATGGAAACCGGCGAGCTTGGTCCCGACGAGGAGAACTTCTTTGTCATCTCGAGCGACGCACTGAGTGAAGCCGCATCCCTTTGGCATGACCGCTTCATGCTCCGCCGTAATTCTGAGGAACACATGCAGTTGCCTGCGTTTCTACAGCCAGCGGTCAAGAAGATATTCAATACAGGCAAAAGCGTTATTTTCTTGAAAGAACTGGGCATTTACGATACAGGTTTACATTCCTCACTGGCAGAGCCGCGCCTCGACCATGAAACAGTCTGCGATACGTCGAATGACGTACCCCTCTCGCCTTTCCCAGAACTGTTCCAGACGGCCTTCGAGACATGGATACGTAGCAAGTACTCAGTCGCCTCAAACGTTCTTCGTCAACACATTTTCGAGACTGATGGCCTGATGCGTGTATTACATACATTCGAAACACTTTACTTAGGCAGGAACGGTGCCGTGTTCGAGGACTTTGCCACTGCAATATTTGAGCGCATGGATGCCGGCAGACGAGGTTGGAACGATCGATACGTCCTCACAGAGCTTGCACGCGGCGTTTTCGGCACGATTCTGTCTGGCCCAGACACAGAGAAACTTGTCGTTCGTTCTATGAAAACGAAGGCGCAGAGAAGCTCAGTCAAGGGTCTAGCTGCCGTTTCCGTGGATTATGCAGTATGTATTATAAGAGCGCTCTTTTGTATCCAGCTAACGATCTTTTTAGGTGCCCTGGTCGATTCAGAACATCATCCAACGCTCGTCCATACCCATCTACCAAGAGATCTGTACATTTCTGATGCAGATATACCGAGTCAAATACCAACTGCAACGCGCGCGCATTCGCGCATCCAGAAAGAATCGTCAACCGATGTTCTACCGACTCCTGCAACGCTTGAATTGGTTCGCCGATGTCCTCCGTTCTTATGTCACCGAGACTGCCGTCTTCCTGACCATACGAGACATGAATTCGGCAATGGAAAAGGCCGATGATATCGACGAGATGTCGCAGATTCACATCAAGTGTATGGAAATATTGCACCAGCGAGCGCTCTTGTCGAAGGAAGTGAAGCCAATCCAAAAAGCGATTATCGAACTACTGGATCTTGGTGTGTTACTTTCGCAGGCTGAGGGTAAGAGCCATGAGCATGTAGATCAGGAGTTCGAAAGACTTCTTCCTTTCGTAGTAGCGGGTCTGCGAAGCACGGCGAGGGTTGGGGAACCCATGTGGGAGCAACTAGCAGATCGACTGGAGGTATTCTCAGATGTCTCCAAGCCCTAGTTCCAGTGTGCTTTATTGTAGCCCTGTAGACAGTTCAGAAACTGCAGCGCTGCATCTTCTCCCAAGCACCCATATGGAAATGTGCATGTGCACTATCTGTACTTCTCATACACAATATGTTGACGTCGTCCATGGGCGCTCTTCTTTCTCTCCTCCGCTCAATGCTCTCGTTGGTGGTCATCGACTGCGCGCAGCGGAAACCCAACAAGCCAGAAATACCACCTGCTTTCGGAGAGGAGAGTGATTGGATGGATTCAGTGATCTTTTTGAGCCTCGGATGTTTCGATCTCGTCACTACTTGACGAAGGCTCTCTCTGCTGTTCCCTTTTTCGCGGTATATCGTCCGGATGGGGATTACCCTCGTGGTGCCCGTCGCCTCGTGCTCGGCTCCACAATAGCATGAAGAAGAGAAAACCGAGGAGCACAGCGATAATCGTAGGTGCTGCGGGATGGCGCATCCTTGTTGTAGGTATCGCCTTTGCTTGTTTGCGGATGCCGTGGTAAAATGCCAGACGGTCTATGGGGTAATCACGTTTCGCGTCTCGGGATCACCCAGTAGTGCCGTCCGAATCTCGAATTTGGCTTTCCACGCTCTTGCTGGGTAGCTCGGAAGTAAACTCGTCTCACAGTCTCTATCCCGGAAAGACCCTCAACAACCGCCTCATGCGCATGCACCCCGGATGACGG